TTTTAATCTTGCCATTTGACCTCCATTTTTCTACCATGACTAAATTCCTGTTCACAAGATCTTCTAGATAGTCCTCTGCAATATTCTCCAAGGTTAAATCCCCTTTTCGTTGTATGAATCCTTCGGCAACCCACAAGCGAATTAGTTTCCTAACCGAGATACGATAGTCTTCTGGAAGCATACCAAAATATATAAAACACGCTCTCAAGTGATAAGGTAGGTGATTAAAACTCCATGCTATAAAATTGTCCATGGTCTTCCCTGGATCCATTTCAACGATATATTCCTTCACATTTTTGGAAACATCTTCCCAATGAGAACCTTCCGTACCTTTTTCTAGTAGAATTCCTCCAATCACCACTATCGCCAGTGGCAGTCCATCACATTCAGCAGCTATTTTCTTTCCATGTTTGACCAAATCCCTTGGGCATTCCTCCAAGCCAAGTGCTTTTCTTTGAAGTAAAGTCCAACTCTCATCAGGAGTGAGAAATCGCAAATCATGGCGTTGTACTTTACAGTCGGCATTCTTACCCACATTCTTGTCACGACTAGTCAATAATATTCTGCTTTTCTTCTTGTTCTTAGGAAAAGCAACTTGGAGATGATTCCAATCATTTTGAGTCCAAACATCATCCATGACAATTAAATACTTCTCTTTCTCCAAAGATCTAAGAAGTTTTTGAGCTAAATTATCTTCTGTCATGTTACGTATCTCATCAGTGACCTTGGTGATTTGATCCAGAATAGTAAGGAAAACTTCCTTTCTATTACAATCTTGAGAAACATAAACCCATATACGATTGTAAAATTCAAATTCTATTTTAGGATCACAAAATACCATTTTAGCTAATGTTGTCTTACCAAGACCTGGCATACCAACTATCGATACAACTTCTAGTTTTTCAGATTCTCCAGTAAGAAGATTGATAACTAATTCTGCCTCGTCTCCAATACCTACCACATGGTCTTCCTCTACGATGGGAGCCTGGTATAGTAATGACGATCATATCAGAAAAGATGTGCCAATATCTAAATAATATAGATGTTAGAAACTCAAGCCTATAATAAAACGAAATGTACAGCAAGAAAATATTCAAGATGAGTATACA